CAGGCCCAGGAACTGGGGATCCCTCTTACCCCTCAGCAGGCCCAAGCCCTGGGGATCCCTCTCACCCCTCAGCAGGCCCAGGAACTGGGGATCCCCCTTACCCCTCAGCAGGCCCAGGAACTGGGGATCACTATCAGCCCTCAGCAGGCTCAGGAACTGGGGATCGCTCTCACCCCTCAGCAGGCACAGGCTCAGGGGATCACTCTCACCCCTCAGCAGGCCCAGGCACTGGGAGTCCCTATAACCTCAGCAAATGCCTGGGTGTCAGCTGTCACTCTTACCCCTGTGCAAACCCAGGCTTTGGAGTCTCCTATCTACTTAGAACAGGCTCAAGAACAGTCATTGAAATTAGGGGTTCCTCTCACCTTAGATAAAGCCCATACCTTGGGATCGCTCCTCACCCTTAGCCAAGTCCAACCTTTGGGCTTCCCCTTCACCCCAGGACAGGTCCAGCCTGTGCGTATTACTCTCATGTCTGAGCATGATCCTAAATCAAGGGCTTCTGTCACACCAAGAGTGCCTCACATTCCTAAGCAACAGGCCATATTGGCTACTCCTACCCATAGACCATTTCAGGAATCAAAGGCTTCTCTCCCCACTGGGCAATCCATCATATCAAGATTATCTCCAAGCCTTAGGCTGTCTCTGGCATCATCTGCTCCTACTGCTGAGAAGTCCTCTATATTTGGGGTCTCTTCTACTCCTTTGCAGGTGTCAAGGCTTCCCATCAATCAAGGCACCTTTGCCCCTGGGAAGCCCCTAGAAATGGGGATTCTACCTGAGGCTGGTACACTTGGGCCACCACAGACTCTTCGTTCCTCTGGACAGACCCTGGTATACGGAGGTCAATCCACTTCTGTGCAGTTACCAGCACCACAGGCCCTTCCCACTCCTGGGCAGCTCCCAATATCTGGGGCCCCTCCCACTCCAGGGCAGCCCTTTGAACAGGAGGCCCTTAGCTCTAGGGAGCTTTTCAAAACTGGGGCCTCTCTGACTCCTCCACCACCTCGAATGTCAAAAGCCCCTCTTGCCCCCAGGCAGCAACTTATAGCTGCAGTCCCACCCGCTTCTGGACAGATTCCCAGTCTCTGGGCTCCTCTCTTTCCTGGGCAGCCCTTAGTTCCTGGAGCCTCTTCCATCCATGGGGACCGTCTGCAATCTGGATCCTTAACCTTCTCTGAGCAGCTCCAGGAATTCCAGCCTCCTGCCACTGCTGAGCAATCTCCCTATATTCAGGCTCCTTCTACTCTTGGGCATCATTTGGCACCATGGACCCTTCCTGGGCAAGCTTCTTCATTATGGATCCCTCCCACCCCTAGACATCCTCCCATTTGGTCCCCTTCTTTTGCTAAGAAGAGACTGGCATTTATTTCTTCTCTGAAATCTAAATCAGCACTGATCCATCCTAGTGCTCCAGATTTCAAGGTATCTCAAGCTCCTTTCACCACTAAGTTCCAAATGTCAGAGGTCTCTGATACTTCTGAAGAAACCCAGATACTTCGAGATCCTTTTGCTATAGAATCATTTAGAACATTTCAGTCCCATCTCACCAAATACAGGACACCAGTATCGCAAACCCCTTACACTGATGAAGGGGCCCTTCCCACTCTCATGAAGCCTACAATATCACTATCTTCTCTTACTACTCTACTCAAAACAACACAGATTTCACCTCCTGAATGGTACCAGAAATCCCGCTTCCCTCCTATAGATAAGCCCTGGATACTGAGTTCAGTTTCAGGTACCAAGAAACCCAAGATTATGGTGCCTCCTTCCTCTCCTAAAGAACTTGAAGAGAAGAGGTATTTTGTTGATGTGGAGGCTCAGAAGAAGAACCTGATATTATTAAATCGGGCTATAAAAACTTGTGGATTCCCTTCACAGCTACACATAACAGCCAGGACTCTCATAATTGAGATACTTCATATGGACACGGTTCAGTTGGGATACCTATTCCGCAAGTACATTGCCTATAGGCTGATCCAGTATGCCAGGTAGATTTAATTATTATATATCTAGTTTTCTGGTTTAGTTCTGATTTCAAATATTCTCTGTCATTGCCCTAGAAGTATACTAATGTTTGTCATATGTTCTCAAAGACTGTCTTATATAAGGTCTATGGGATGGAAGCCTGTTTAAGACAGCAAAAGATCTATTTTTTAGAAAATAAGAAATGACATATACCATAATCCATTTCATTCATATATATCTCCAGCAGAGATGCCAAGTGTATTTTGTGGATCATGGTTTGTCTCCAAAATATCAACTTCAAAAGTTTAGAGATGCTTTCCAGTTATTCTGAATTTCTTTCTTTTTTTTTTTCCTTTTTTTTTGAGACAGAGTCTTGCTCTGTCACCCGGGCTAGAGTACAATGGTGTGATCTTGGCTCACTGCAACCTCTGCCTCCCGGGTTCAAGCGATTCCCCTGCCTCAGCTTCCTGAGTAGCTGGGATTACAGGTACAAGCCACCAAGGCTGGCTAATTTTTGTAATTTTAGTAGAGACAGGGTTTCACCATGTTGGTCAGGCTGGTCTCAAACTCCTGACCTCGTGATCCACCCACCTCGACCTCCCAAAATGCTGGGATTAAGGCATGAGCCATCGTGCCCGGCTGTGAATTTCTTTCATCCTTTTTGGTTCACCAGAAACATATGATTTTCAAAATGGAAGATGGCATAACAAAGAATGAGAGCAGGCATGGTGGCTCATGCCTATAATTCCAGCACTTTGGGAGGCTGAGGCAGGTGGATCACTTGAGGCCAGGAGTTCAAGACCAGTCTGGCCGAGATGGTGAAACCCTGTCTCTGCAAAAAATACAAAAATTACCCAGGCATGATCCCAGGATTACTTGGGAGGCTAGGGCGGGAGAATCTCTTGAACCTGGGAGGTGGAGGTTGCAATGAGTCAGCCGCGCCACTGCCCTCCAGCCTGGGTTTGGGAGTCAGACTGTCTCAAAACAAACAAACAAGAACGAGAACCTGCCATTTGCAACAACATGGACAAAACTGAGGTCATTATGTTAAGTGAAATAAGCCAGGCACAGAAAGACAAACTTCACATGTTCCCACTTATTTGTGGGAGCTAAAAATTAAAATGATTTAACTCATGGACATAGAAAGTAGAAGGAAAGGATGGGTGCCATGATTCACGCCTATATTCCCAGCACTTTGGAAGGCTTAGGAAGGAGGATCACTTGAGCCCAGGAGTGTGAGACCAGCCTGGACAACAAAGTGAGACCCTGTCTCTACAAAAAATACAAAAAAATTAGCTGGGCGTGACAGTGCATGCCTGTAATACCAGCTATTCAGGAAGCTGAGCTTGGTGGATCACTCAAGCCCCAGGAGGTCGAGGCCGTAGCAAGCCAAGATCACACCGCTACACTCCAGCCTGGGTGACAGAGAGAGACCCAGTCTCAGGAGAAATAAGATTAAAATTAATTAATTAATTAA